CTTTGGCAAGAGAACTCAGCAATAATTTTTTGCATGAACAATTTTATTCTTATGACTCAATTTTCTGACTGTCACAATGCTAGGGTGTTGTGGGAGGTTTTCAGAGTGTTGCAATGCTAGCATTGCTAAGATGTTGTCAGTGGTTGTTGGCACATTCTATGCCGTTACTAGGGTGTTCTGAGTGGTTACCAGGACGTTGTGGTTGCTAAAATGTTCTAAGTGGCTGTTAGCATGTTGCAGTGCAGTTGCTAATCTATTCTGAGTAGTTGTTAACACCTTTCTATGCAGTTGCTAATGTGTTCAAGGCAATTGTTAGCATCTTGCTATGCAGTAAGGTGTTCTAGGTACAGTAGTTGTTAGCATGTTGCTGTGTAGTTGCTAAGGTGTTCTGGGCAGTTGTTAGCATCTTGCTATGCAGTTGCTAAGGTATTCTAAGTAGTTGTTAGCATATTGCTATGCAGTAAGGTGTTCTAAGTGGTTATTTGCATATTACCCTGTTGAAAAAACCAGCATATGCTGGTTATGTTTTGACGCTGGGATGCTGGTTTAAGCTGGTCCTTTGCTGGTTTGTGCTGGTCCTTTGCTGGTTTATGCTGGTCATGTGCTGGAAAAGGACCAGCACAAACCAGCAAAAGGACCAGCAAAAGACCAGCTTAAACCAGCAAAGGACCAGCACAAACCAGCAAAGAACCAGCTAAAACCAGCAAAGGACCAGCACAAACCAGCAAATGACCAGCTTAAACCAGCATCCCAGCGTCAAAACATACCTAACCAGCATATGCTGGTTTTTTCAACAGGGTGCTATGCAGTTGCTAAGTTGTTCTAAGTAGTTGTTAGCATCTTGTTATGCAGTTACTGCATTGGTCTGAGTAGTTCTGACCTCTTTTAAAGAAAAGCCCAATGTATATGTCAGTTTTAATGTGTACACTAGGGTGTGCATGCAGTGTGCAACATAAATTTCATCATTAGCATAGTATGTAGAGGTCGACCGATTGATCGGCCGGCCGATTTTTGGCATTTTTTAATTAATCAGCATCGGCCGATTGTGCTGCAAATGAGGACGATTTATAGGCAGGTGCACTGGTGGGCAGCTAAGCATTGTTGCGGAACTCCCTCTGGCTGCGTGAGACGGAGGAGCTCACGCTCTGCAGCCGTGGCTTGTTCATACACAGCTTCAGCTAATGATGGCAGGGCAAAACAGACCGTTTCGATAGCGGAATTACATTTGACCTTACTAGAATTGATGCCGGAAAGTTATCATATTCATAAGTGCAACAAGTCATTTGCATGTGAAAGTAGAAACATGTTCATTTCAGACAAAACTTCTGGGCTGATTATAACGTGCACGTTAACTTTCCTCATGAAATGTCTGTGTGGGTCCGACAATGGCATCCACGATGTCATCGCTCGTGGCCAGCACACTCTTAAGCAGTTATCAGCAGCAAGCTGTGTAATATGTGTGAAATCTTTTATTTTTGTTATCACTATGACCATATGACTTATAGCAGTGTCCAGTGCTTCCTATACATTGAGTTATTTGTGGAGGCTCGTCACAATATCAAAACTGACCGCCACAAATAGATTTTCCAAAAGGCTTACTTAGTTGAATAAAATAAGCGCTTCACGTTTCAAAATTAAAATGCAACGCGGGTGTTTTTATATGAATGTATATTTGAAAAGAACCGACTGTCTTCAGAAAAGCTTCGATGTAATTTTAATTTTGTATTTCCTGTAATGCCTGATAAAGTAGCGTTTGTGAGTGCAGCGCTGATTTGATTACAGATCAGCCGTTACCGGGGAAACCGCTATATCTCCAGCTCCCAAAGCGCCTCCTGCTGGCAGAGAATTAATTTGCAGTCTGTGGGAAACACTGGTGTCTGTCAGCAAACATAAACAAAAAGCATCCTTCAGAACTGTTTTGAGAAGGTGCTTTGAGCCATTTATTATTACACTAAATTGGGCTACTACTACTATTACTATCTTGTACCCTGCAATAATCATTTGCTCAAACTCACTTTTATGAGATGAATGGGAAAAAAAGAAAATCGGCCAAACATATTGGCATCATATATCGGCCATAGGCTGCCCTGATTTCTAAATATCGGCATCGGCCTGTGAAAAACCCATATCGGTCGACCTCTAATAGTATGTGCATAAACTGTACACACTCAGACATATTTTTCTATATTTGCTCAGCTTGTACATGTGCCTTAACTTTTTTGCACTAATTAGTTTATCCACAATGTGGCAACAATGGCCCAGACTGTTGTTTCACAGTCGATAAAGAAACAAAAAAGATGGAACAACAATAATGTTGCCAATTGACCTAATAAGTTGCAAATTGGTCCTCCAGCTGTTCCTTATATGTACATTTAACTTTTCCGGCCTCTTATTGCTACCTGTCCCAACTTTTTTGGAATGTGTAGCTCTCAGGAAATCCAAAATGAGCCAATATTTGGCATGACATTTCAAAATGTCTCACTTTCAACATTTGATATGTTATCTATATTCTATTGTGAATAAAGTATAAATTTATGAGATTTGTAAATTATTCCATTCTTTTTTTACTCACAATTTGTACAGTGCCCCAACTTTTTTGGAATTGGGTTTGTACTTTTGACCACAACATATTTAGTTTAAACGAAGACTAGAATACCCAAGATGTGTCACTCATATAGTTTTAAATGGGGAAAAATACAACGCTCCATATGGCCGCTCCATGGAAGGAAGCCTCGCTTTCTGAGTAAAAGAGCCAATTGCTAATCTGTAAAATTATTGCGTCACTTCAGCTGCCGTTAGAAGTCCCGTTTGCAATAGAAACAGTCAGCATTCTGAGTTGCACGCTTAGGACTGCGCACAAGCACTGGCTGGTCTAGACTGAATAATACGCTTTTTTAACTCTATTTGAGCAAAAGAAACAACATTTATGAGACAGTTGTTGTCATATTTCATTGGTGATTTCAAATATGAAATTTAATTGTAAGCTTGGCAAACGGTTTTGGAGAATATGATGTTAACCCATTCAAAGAGATAGGAGCTGCACTTTTATGCCCCAAGAGTCATTTCAAAGAGTTAAATGACTTGTCTTAAAGGGACTTTGGTTTAAATGAGTATAAAGACATTTTTTTAATTGCTCATAACTTCTAGAGAGAAATAGCACAGACGCCAGACAATGATGAAACTTTCTAGTGTGCATAGTCACCTGTGTTAGTGCTTGCTAAATATTAAGTATATTTTGAAAGGCTACACATTCCTATGTAGGCACAATGTTCTATGTTCGCATCTATGTTCTATGTTCGCATCAAAAGTGAAATATACTTAAGTTTTAGTGATTCTTAACCATTGTATCATCAACAAGGTGAAAACTGCTGGTCAGATTGTTTAGAAAAGTAATTGTACACATGATTTGAGATATTGTTCACATATGCAGAACAAACATTACGTGCCACAGTTCAACACTAAGTTTGCTGTAACTCAATAGTAATAGTGATGCTTATGTTATCTAACACTAGCACTAACAAGGGTTGGGTGCTATCTTAGGATCCCAGGCCTTTTTTAATCTAGTTAGAATCTATATTTAGGCATCCCAGGCTTGTGAAAATCTAAATGCTGTTAATAGAAACATTGCTATAGATTAATTGACTGACTGCTTAGTGATGTTCCTCTGTACAATTGACAGCGTTCATCTCATCTGAAACCATCTGTCAGACAGAAGCACTTCCACTAATGGCATCACTCTGAACTCAGGGTTCAGGTACTAGAGAGCGCTGATGGTCATTCAAACCTTATTCTCCTTTATGACGCTCTGTATTAGCTCTGTATGTAGAAGCTCATATTAGCACTCAAATATTTATAACGCTTAGCTGGGAACAAAGACTGTGTAGAGAACATAGCTGCAGGCTCACAGCGGTGCATTAGACTACTGAAAATTTCCAAACAGATGAGTGGAGAGATACTGAGAAAAGCAATGTCAAATTGCCCCCTATGTGAAGCTGAAGCATTTTGTGTCACCCAGAAGGAGTTTATTTTGTAGTAATGGCTGAATGAGTGCGAATAATCCTGTTTATAACAAATGTACTTACTAAATATCAAAAGTAAATGAATGGACATTACATATTGATTTGAGCCCTTTTATCACACGAGATATCAAAAGAGAGTGTGAAGTGATACAAGAGACATCAATGTGGCACATTGTAGGCAATTGGCTTCCAGGGTGAATGGGCATTAATGGTTTATATATATATATATATATATATATATATATAGTATTTTTTTTTTTTTTTGTCAGAATCAAGCATACCACTATACAATATACAGGTATTCCCAAGGAATCATAATGCGATTCAGATTCATACTTGCACTTCTAGAGTAGAATATTGTTAAAATATTTTATATGTATTATATGTATTTTATATAAATATATGTATTGGCTTGTTAGTTACACATAAATATACATTTTCTCTGTAAATTATTAGTTGTTTTTTTAAACTAACTTTTCCTTCACTAGCTAACTTTTTGTTTTCTAACAATTTACAGTAAAAATTATATAATTTTTGCCATTGTAAGGTACCGTACAATGAACAACCAATGGACAGGATTTTACAAAGCATTTTTCCATTAAAATTTATTATTATTATTATTATTTGTAGTAGTAGTAGTATTTATTTTCTGTAGCATTATAAATCATTATGTATTAGGTGGTGGTATACAGTATAATGTGATACTAAATGATTACCATATTATTGTGCCAAATAAATAAAAATCACTAAGAATTCAAAGAAATTCAAATTAAGACAAGTCACTAAACTATTTACATGGTACATCTAGAAAAGTATATCATGGTATTACTGGTATATATGTCAAAAAACATTTATGAAAGTTAAGAAATGTTTATAATAACACTTGTCATGGACTAGATCATAATTTTTTTTGTAATGTCTTCATTATAGAAGGTTTATTAAATTGTGTGGAAGTTTAAATTGGGGCATTTTTTTTTTCAGAGGAGGAACTGCGGAAGCTCCGAGAAGAAACGAATGTGGAGACCCTTAAGCAGGAGTTGGAGAGAGAACGCAGCAGAAGACTTGACCTGGAACAGAAGATGGGTGATGTGCTGAAGACCAGGTGAAAAATAATAAAAAAATGCACAAAATCAAGTCTACAGAAAAGCATTAAAAAGACCTGAAATGCAGAAAGTTTTGAGTAGAAATCACAAGTTGAATTAAGTTTTGGAGAAAACTTTTACTGTAGCATAGCACAGTTTAATAGTTTCCTTCTATAGTCTGTGATAAATTGATGCATGTTTGCAGTGTTCAATGATCTGGTCCTGTACTCTCTCTGGCTGTCACGCTAGAACTGACCACAGTGGGCTGTCCACGCCTCACACTGAGCTATAAAAATAGCCACTACATCCCACCCCCCATGATCCTTCAGCAGGAAGTCGATGTCTATACGTAGAGTTGTGCACAGCAATATGTCAGTGCAGAGTGTTCTTTCCACTGATGCCATTTCAACATTTAATTGATTCAGATTTGATTTCCAGCACATTTTAGGCTTGCACAGGCTGAGCTACATTGAGGAGAAGTTTCTGATAGTTAATCTGCAAATATGTGTAGAAGATCAACGTGTTGATGAGGTCTGAATAAAAGTTTGAATTGAATTGAAAGTTAATGTAGTTTGTGTTTCCTGGTGAAGGTGTGAAGATTCTCCACCTCAGCCTCCACAGAAGCAGCAGCCACCTGCAGCTAACGGCACAGGTAATACAACCCTCAATGTTATCAGAATCAGAATCAGAAAGAGCTTTGTTGCCAAGTATGTTTGCACATACAAGGAATTAGTTCTGGTGACAGAAGCTTCCAGTGCACTGAGACAACAACAACAACACACAGAGATTATAAGAAATAAAGATATGTGAATAAAATACACATGTGTATATTTAAATGATATTATGCATCAAAAGGAACAAAACATTTTTAGATGACTATACTTCTACACCTCACAATTTTTTGATCAATTCTTCATAGTACATTTTAAGGCAGAATTGTATCTGAACTGCTATGAACTGTTGTTATTTTTTTTTAATGCTGAAAAGTATCAACAAAAAAATAGTTTACTGAAAATGTTCTACTTTACCCAATATGTGTGTGCTGTCAATTTTTATACTAATCACAGAAAGCTTTTATTTAAATAATTTCACATATATTTATGGAATCGTGAAAAGCTGGGGAGACTATTTTAAATTATTTCAGACCAAATTCAGTTTGAGATTAGCATTCTCGCCAGTTTTTCACAATTCCATAAATAAGATTTTTTTTCTTATTTAAATTTATTTTATTTTTTTAAATTACTACATTTTGTCATATCAACAGTGTTGGGGGTACACGCATTACAAGTAACGCGAGTTACGTAATCAGATGACTTTTTTCAAGTAACTAGTAAAGTAACGCATTACTTTTTAATTTACAAGAGAATATCTGAGTTACTTTTTCAAATAAGTAATGCAAGTTACTTTTTTTCCAATTTATTGTTTGACAGCTCTCCTGTCCCCATGTTGAGAGAAATCAGAAGATGTTACTGTAGTTCTAAAATAAAAATTAATATGCATTAATTCATCTCACTCACAATGTAACGTAACGCATTACTTTCCATAAAAAGTAACTAAGTAACGTAATTAGTTACTTTTTTTATGGAGTAACGCAATATTGTAATGCATTACTTTTAAAAGTAACTTTCCCCAACACTGCATATCAATGTTATCAATGTGTCACACATAATATGGTACTGTAAATGTGGTACCCCTATTAAAAATAAATAATAATGAAAAATTCTGGAAATTTGCCTACTACCAGAAAAAAAAAGTAATTTTCCTAAAAACACAATCCTAGTGGGACTGTGAAATTTCAGGGTGACAAATTCAAATGGACTCAACCAAATCTCCTAATTTCTAACAGGATTTCGTAATTTTCACCTTCTCTATTTGTCTGTCAGTCATGTGGGTTCAAGTGGTAATTGTGCCTCTAATCCTGTGTTGAGGTTTTGGATTTTCTGGCTGGTTTGTGGCTTAGATTTGTGACTGAAATTTCTGCTTCTGGAAGCATTCAGCTGTTATTTTAGGCACTTGTCTAAATTTGTAGACCATCTAGGCCAGACCAACCCCTTTTGTTTAAGGCAGGAAATGAGAATGTAGAGCACATCCCCCCCCACCCCCCTCCTCTCTTGATTCATTTAATTGGCATGACATACTTAGGTACATATTGACAAAGTATATAGCAAACTGTACATAGCAAAATAAATACAAACAAATGTACATACATATATATTATTATTGTGTGTAGTGTGTGATAGTGGTCAGTGGTTCGATGTTTAGGGAGGAAAAAAATTGGAGATTTGCTGATGATACTGTGCTGCTTTAAGAAAAATGACTATATATACTCTTATAATACTTTTTCCCCAAATTACTGGTTACACAGATCCCTCTGTAGTTCTTAGGATCTGTTTTGTCTCCACTTTTAAAGATAGGAGAGATGAGTCCTGTGTTCCAGACCTCAGGAAAAACACCGAACTCAGAATCAGGTTAAAAAGTTTAAGCAATGCCGTCTGAAGTTCAGGAGAGCTGTGTTTTTTTTAATCATCTCATTTTCCTCTCTTTCTCAGTACACCCACACTGCAAGATTCATATTAATTGAGATTTGGTTTTGGTCTCTAAATCAAATATATCTCTAAACTCTCTCTGTAGACAAACAGCAGAAAGAGACGGTGTGTTCGCGGCTGCAGAGCTGGCTGTATGATCGGTTCGGGGTTTATATAGAGGATTTTCGCTTCCAGCCTGAGGAGAACACGGTTGAGGCTGAGGAGCCACTAAGTGCTAAAAGGTCAGTGAAGAAAAATCACCTGTGGAATTCATTCTTCATGTAATTCGTGTGAAAATTTAAATACTCTGCTCCAATACTATGTCCCAGAGATCCTTTTCTGTCTAGTAAACATCTGCCCCCCTGTGGCCAGGATGCTTTTAGTCAGAATAAGCCAAGTTTAGTGGCAGAGAAGAGATCTTCAAAAGGGGCAGGACGGAAACTGACATAACATTAAGCTTTTTTCACCAGAAAATTAATTTGCCTTTCAAAATAAAAGTTTGCATATGTCCTAACATACAGGTGCATCTCAATAAATTAGAATGTCGTGGAAAAGTTCATTTATTTCAGTAATTCAACTCAAATTGTGAAAGTCGTGTATTAAATAAATTCAGTGCACACAGACTGAAGTAGTTTAAGTCTTTGGTTCTTTTTTTTTCCTTTCACTCAACTTTCTGTTAACATGCTTGGATACAGCACTCTGTGAACAGCCAGCTTCTTTGGCAATGAATGTTTGTGGCTTACCCTCCTTGTGAAGAGTGTCAATGATTGTCTTCTGGACAACTGTCAGATCAGCAGTCTTCCCCATGATTGTGTAGCCTAGTGAACCAAACTGAGAGACCATTTTGAAGGCTCAGGAAACCTTTGCAGGTGTTTTGAGTTGATTAGCTGGTTGGCATGTCACCATATTCTAATTTGTTGAGATTTGGTGGGTTTTTGTTAAATGTGAGCCAAAATCATCACAATTAAAAGAACCAAAGACTTAAACTACTTCAGTCTGTGTGCATTGAATTTATTTAATACACGAGTTTCACAATTTGAGTTGAATTACTGAAATAAATGAACTTTTCCACGACATTATAATTTATTGAGATGCACCTGTATGTTCCCTTCCGGTTCTTGCATATGTCCTAACATATGTTCCCTTCCGGTTCTATCAAATTATGTTTTTCTTAGACTTAATATGCCACATTTAGATGGCATTACAACACAAATATGTTTACATTTCTCAACACGTCTAAGGTAAATTATACATGAAAAGTACTGTTGTTATATGTGATCGCCTAAATGTTGCCTAAAAATCTTTTGAAAAGCTGGCCTCCTTCTTTTGGTAAATTATTGCCTCTTTCATATGGCTTATGTAGGATTATAATTTATTGAGATGCACCTGTATGTTCCCTTCCGGTTCTTGGATATGTCCTAACATATGTTCCCTTCCGGTTCTATCAAATTATGTTTTTCTTAGACTTAATATGCCACATTTAGATGGCATTACAACACAAATATTTTTACATTTCTCAACACGTCTAAGGTAAATTATACATGAAAAGTACTGTTGTTATATGTGATCGCCTAAATGTTGCCTAAAATCTTTTGAAAAGCTGGCCTCCTTCTTTTGGTAAATTATTGCCTCTTTCATATGGCTTATGTAGATTTTACCTCATGTGCAATTATGTTTATTGATCCCAGGTGTTTCTCGTCAAGTCCTGTGTATTTATGTTTCCTGTTTTGATTTCGCTGTGCTGTCTTGATCGTCAATCCTCGTTCCTACGTGTGTGCTCCTTGTGGTAAATAAAGACTGTTGAATTCTCCTACGTCTCCTTTGCTCCTCGCTCCGACACAGTAGGCAACACCGTGACAGAAAATAGCACCGTAACTGAAAGTAAGCGGTGCCCCTTCTTCCCGTTTTGTTTTCGTGTTTTGAAAAGTCTTTTGTTTTCCCGTTTTTGCTCCCCCACGCGATCATGGAAATCGCAGCTCAATTTATTTTCCTAACCCGTAGAGATCCAAGTTCAAGTTAAGTTCACGGGCCTCCGCTCGCTCAAGCCCACCGGAATCTCTGCTGTCAAGCCCGCCGGCTGTTCCTCAGTCAAGCCCGCCGGCCACGGCATTCACAAGCCCACCAGCCGTGGCTCTCTCCAGTCCGCCGGCTGTTCCTCAGTCAAGCCTGCCGACCATGCCTTTCACCCCGAACCTAAAGGGGAATTTAAGGAGGTCGACTCCAGCCCCTGAATCCAGCCCACGGAGGGCTCCTGTTCACGAGTTTAGCCCACAGAGAGCTCCTGTTCCCGAGTTTAGCCCAGTGAATGCTCCTGGCTAAGTCAAGTCTGCCGGCCGTTCATCAGTCAAGCCTGCCGGCCGCCACGACGTCGTGACCACTGGATGCCCTATTCACCCGTAACAAAAAGAGGTGGATGAGGAGAAAATAATGGCTCACGGCCCTCTTCCTTGCCCGAGAGCACCCCCAGAGCTTGCTCCAGTGTCGGCTCCAGCCCCTGAGTTCACTCCAGTATCAGCTCTATCCCCTGACCAGAGTCGAGAGATTTAGCCCAGAGAGGGTCCCAGTGCCCGAGTTTGTCCAGAGAAGGCTCCAGTCCCCGAGTCTAGCCCAGAGAGGGCCCCAGTCCCTGAGTTTAGCCCAGTGAGGGCCCCTGTCCCCGAGTTTAGCCCAGTGAGGGCTCCTGTGCCCGAGTTTGGCCCAGTGAGGGATCCAGTCCCCGAATTTAACCCAAGGAGGGCTCCAGTCCCCTTGTCCAGCCCAAAGAGGGCTCCAGTCCCCACGTCAAGTCCAGGGACAGTTCCCGAGTTAGGCCTACGGAGGGCCTCTAAAGTCTATATTCTCCCCAAGGATTTTTTTTTGGGAGGGAGGGGGGGTAGTATGGGTCCATCCGTAGTGGTTGGGCCGAGTGACGAGGCCAAGGCCACGGAGGCTGTCCAGCCATGGTGTCCTGAGTTCCCAGCTGTAGAGGCCGGGCCGAGTGGCCCTGCTCCACCATGGCCTTCTGAACTGTCTGCTCCGCCATGGACTCCTGAGTTCCCTGCTCCGCCGTGGCCTCCTGAACTGCCTGCTCCGCCATGGCTTTCTAGTCTGCCTACTCCGCCATGGGTCCGGGAACAGGTACCGCCCTGGAGGCCGTCCGTCCCTGTATGCCTGTCCTGAGAGGCCTCCAGAGCACCCACCCCCCCCTCCCTGGTGGAATTGTTACTGCACGGGACGCGCCTTCTGGGAGGGGGGAGTAATGTCAGACTCTGTTCCGAGTTTTGTGTTTTGCTCCCCACGTGCTTTCCATGACCCGTTTTCCCTCATGTGCAATTATGTTAATTGATCCCAGGTGTTTCTCGTCAAATCCTGTGTATTTATAGTGTTTCCAGTTTTGAGTTTGCTGTGCTGTCTCGATCGTCAATCCTCGTTCCTATGTGTGTGTTCCATGTGGTAAATAAAGACTGTTGAATTCTCCTACGTCTCCTTCGCTCCTCACACCGACACAGTAGGCAACACCGTGACACATATATGCTAGTTATATATAATTTATAGTCGGGAGAGTGACACATAATTGCTCCTGTAATTTTTACCACAAAATTAAGCAATTATAATTATAAAATCTATTTACTTGCTCATTAAAATGTAATAACGTTGGACGAGTGTTATTTTACCGTTATTTATTTATATACTACTATAGTTTCTATAAATATATTAAATGTTTTAATTTTTATATTGTCAGTTTTCATTTTCCATTAATTTTAAGATTACTTTAATATTACTAAAAAGGTTTCATTAATTGCCAAAGCAAAATTTCTAATTTTTGTTTTTAATCTAATATTTATATTTGTAAGATTTATTTCAGCTTCACTTAACCAAGATGTTTTTCATAGTTTTTGTACCCGATAATACCCCTTCTTGGGACAGCAACGTAATATGTGTTGTGTTTTTGTCTTCTGTCACAGATTTATATGAATGCAGCATGGCATGGCTGGGCTATTCCTTTGTTTCTATTCTTAGCCATTCTGAGGTTGTCATTGAACTACCTCATAGCCAGGTAAGACAATGTTTCCTTTTTTTTACTAGTATCTCATTGAAAATGGGTTAAATTTAAAATGTTACCTAGATTTAACAAATTTCTAGTTGTTGTTGTATATTGGCTGAAATTTCCAGTCATAAGAATGAATACACTACCACAAGATCAGTACTCATGTTAGCATATTTGATAAAAAAAAAAATGTACACTCAGACAGTCATTATCACTGTACATATACAGTACATGTATTAATGCCATACCTGTATATTACAACAGAATAAACATATATTTTGTACACATACATACAGTATGTATTTTCTTATATATATATATATAGAAACATAAATGGATCAGAAACTGATTTAATAGTTTTTTTTTCTATAGAGGATGGAGAATTCAGTGGAGTATTGTGCCTGAAGTTTCTGAACCTGTGGTAGGAATGTTCTTCCTGGTTAATATTTGTCAGTCACTTTTTTATGTTGTGCATATTTAATTTTTTTCCCCTTCTTCCAGGAACCTTCAAAGGAAGATCTAACTGTGTCTGAAAAGTTTCAGTTGGTTCTCGATGTTGCACAAAAAGCACAGGTAACTTTACACTTTAATTATTATACTTTAATTTGAATAAAAACCTGTCCATTGTATTTACACTATTTGTCAAGAATTTGGGCACACTTTACTGTTTCTCCTGTCCGAAAAACTTTTTGATCTAAATCCTTTTGCTATTATGTATGCATTTCTTTACAAAACAATTTTTTTTTTTACCTGATAGTGAAAGATAAGCAGCCAACAACTGTTAAGCATACATGGACATTTCTTTAATATTATTTAAAAAGTAACCCAGGATACACCTCATGAAGTTATTTGAAGAATGCAAAATGTACATGAGCTGTGATCAGACCTGTATGAGCAGAGTCTGTGATCTAGACAAAGATTTGTTGTTTTATATTTTTTGGTCATCACTTAATTCACATTCTTCCATTCATATTATTTAATAGTTTTTGAGGACTTTTATTGTATAACCTGAAATATAGTCATAATAAATAATTGTTCTTTTTTGTTTAATTTCTGTTGTGATTTGAAATTTTATGGATTCATGTCTCAAATTTAATTTTGCGTATTGTTCTTTTTGACCGACATAAGAAATTAATGTTTCTACAGAATCTTTTTGGTAAGATGGCAGATGTTTTGGAGAAAATCAAAAAGTAAGTAGCTCTTTTAACTAATATGAGATCAGAGGACAAATTATATTTCAATGATTTTGTGTTCACTCAAAAAACTTGTATGTTTCAAACTCGAATGTAACATTTTTGAGAGCAAACGAAAAACTGCCGATGAAAATAATATGCGATGGGAAGAAAATGCAAAGTTTCTCAGCAGGGTGCAAAAAGTTTTGTGGGAGCATTGAAATGTAAGGGCTCTGTACTGTAAACTAATGAATGTTTCTCCGTGTTTGTATGTGTTATGGGTGGATGTTTGTGTGCGTATGTATACACCAGTTTGTTCATGTGGGTTCAGCCTGAGATCACTCAGAAATTGTACATCGCTCTGTGGGTGGCCTTCATCTCCTCTTGTGTCCTTCCCTACAAGCTGATGGGTTTCATGATCGGTGAGAATCATTACTCATAACTCCTTACATGTACATAAACACCCCATACGCACTAATAACATTCACATACAAACAAAACGCTGTCATTCTAAATGGCTTAGTGTTGCTTTTTATATCAAACATAGACATGTCTGTTGTGTAGCGGTACTGAATGGGTATATTAAAGATCAAATCCTTCCTCAGAGGAAGTTCATTGAATTGTGCTCTGTATGAATTGTGACCATGAATTGGGTTTATAATTTGTGTGCAATAACAGTGCAAACATGTTAACATCTGAACATAGTTAGCAAGAGACAATTAGCAACGAAGTACACTACAGTTCTTTTTTTTAAGTTAATACTTCAATTCAGCATGGAAGTATTTTTTTTTAACCAAAAGTGATGTGAAAAGTGAAAGATGTATACATTGTTACAAAAAAATCTAGTTAAATAAATACTGTTTTAACTTGTATTCATCAAAGCATCCTGAAAATAAAAATGTATCACAGTTTTCAAAATGTAAGTAGCACAATCATTTACAACATTGATAATAATTAATGTATCTTGAGCACCAAATCAGCATATTAGAATTATTTCCCAAATCAGCATATTAGAATGATTTCTGATGAATCATGTGACACTGAAGACTGGAGTTGTGATGCTGAAAATTCTGCTTTACCATCACAGAAATAAATTACAAACTATATTTTAAAACTATATTAAAATAGAAAACAGATTTGAAATTGTGATCATATTTCACAATAATACTGTTTTTACTTATTTTAAATACATACATACTTTTGAATGGTTGTGTGCATTTGTAAAATGTCAGGGAGTTTAAGAAATTTTGTGTAATTTTGTCTAGCAAACTAGAGGATTCTGGTAAATTAAGTGTGCTTCCATCATGGTCCATAAAATGAAAGTTGAATTATTAAATATATTGAAATCTACAAAGTTGTTTTGTGCTGAAATCCAGCAGTCTAAAGTTGTAGTTGTTTTATAATTCTCATGGTGTGTGTCTTTTCTCTGGCAGGGCTTTACGTGGGCATCAAGTTCTTTATTATAGACTTTCTGTTTAAGAGCTGCCCAAAACTCAGAGACAAATACGACACTCCGTATATCATGTGGAACAATCTGCCCACCGACCCTCAGCTGAAAGAACGCAGCAATGCCACTGTGTCACGACGGGTGAGAGAGAAAGAAATTATGTCATGCTCTAATACCAGCCTCCTGGGTATTTTCACACTTTAAATGTCATACCTTTTTGAAATGTTTGTTTCAAAGTATCGGGCACTGTAATTATGTGTGTATGAGAGTGATGGGTGTTACCTCGTAAGGGAAACATCAGTGTAGGTAATTGACATGACGGTCACGCATAATCTGTTGTCTTTCTCTCCCAGCTGTCTGGGTGTGAGAAGGTAGGGATTGTGATGTGCTTCTGCCAGCACCTGTGTATGTGTGTGTGTGATGAGACCTTTCTTTACCTTGTGTGTTTGAATCTAGATGCACAGTGTGATATGAATTTTGTCTGTGCTCAAATGGATCAAAATGGCCATATAGTCCCAATGGCCCAATTGACGTTACTGGGTGAATCTATCAAAGAAACGTCCAGGTTGTTTTCACTGACCAGCTTTTGATTTTGATTTTGATGGCTACAACACACTCCACAAAAGTTGAGAAAAAGGCAAAATAAAAGTGAAAAGGTTATAGAATATCCAAATTAAACAGTTCACAATAAACAGGTGAATTGGCGAGGGGATCATGTTTGGGTATAAAAGGAGTATCTCAGTCTTTGCAAGTAAAACTGGATTATGGCTCACCACTTTGTGCCAAATTTCATGAGAGAAGTGTCATACAAATCAAAAATCACATTTCTCAATGCAAAATTGCAAAGAATTTAGGTCTTTCACCAACTACTATACATAATATTGTGAAAAGATTCAGGGAATCCACAGAAATGTCAGGGCAAGGCAGGAAACCTCAGTTGAATGTGCATGACCTTTGAGCCCTCAGATGGCATTGCATAAGAAACGGTCATGATGTGGTGTTAAATATAGCCACATGGGCTCAGGAGAACTTCAGAAAACCGCTGTCACTAAACACAGTTTGCCGCTGCATCAATAAATGCAACTTGAATCACTGTAACTCTAGGAAAAACTATATATCAGTTCTATGCAGTGATGCCATGGGGTTCTCTGGGCCAGAGCTCATCTCAGTCAAAAAGACAGTGGAAATATGTGCTGTGGACAGATGAGTCCACATTTCAACTTGTTTCTGAGAAAAATGGATGTCGAGTTCTCAGTCCCAAAGACCAAAGGGGCCATCCAGACTTTCATCAGCAACAGATGCAAAAGCAAACATTTGTCATGGTGTGGGGGTGCAGCAGAGCAAATGGCATGGGTGACTGGCAAATGTGCGAAGGTATCATTGACATGGAGGTATATATTGGAATTGTACAGAGACTTATACTGCCATCAAGATAGCGTCTTTCATGGGAAGTCCATGTTTATTAGATCGAGACAATGCCAGATCTCATTCGGCATGTGCTACAACAAAATGGTTTCGTAGCAAAGAGTGAATATACTAGACTTGCCTGCCTAAAGTCCAGATCTGTCTCCTATAATTAAATGTGACCAGTCGTGAAATGGAGAATCAGATAGTGACGATCACAGACTGCTGAGCATCTGAAGTCTTGTATCAAGTGAGATTGGACAAAAAAATTGCTTGCAAAACTTTAACAATTAGTATCCTGAATTCCCAAACAATTAAACATTGTAATTAAAAGGAAAGGTGATTTGACACAGTGGTAAACATGCCTCAGTCCCAACTTTTTTGGAGTGTGTTGCAGCCGCGAGTAGTTTCCATCAGTGCTATTTTAGTATCAATATACTATTATAGTTTTTATTTATTTATTTATTATTTTTTATTGTTTTCTTTTCAGTTTTAGTTCAACCCTTGTTTCCACAATAGTGCAGTATTAGATAATTAGAGGTAGAAATAGTTGAATGTTTGGCTTTAGAACACTGTGTTGTGAGTCTGTACAGAGTGAGATCAATGGCGGTTGCTTCTCTTAAAACATCAATACACTGACAAAAAACCCAACTTACCCACATGAATGCACAAACATACTTAAAAACAGCTAACTACGTTATGCTTACAGTATTAGTGATCAAAATGAAGCCTATTTACTTTCTTATACAGTACATGTTATAAATTCTATTGCATGTGATTAATTAGTGCATGTTTTCCAGAAGAAGACAAAATGTAAAAATGTTTCTTCACAACCATCCTTCTGGCTGACATTACCAAGGCCACATTAATGGAAAACGTACTAGGTTACTATAGTATCCTGAATTCCCAAACAATTAAACATTGTAATTAAAAGGAAAGGTGATTTGACACAGTGGTAAACATGCCTCAGTCCCAACTTTTTTGGAGTGTGTTGCAGCCGCCAAAATCAAAATTTGTTTATATTTACAAAATAAAATTAAGTTGGCCGGTGAAAACATTGGATTTTTTTTCTTTGTACTTAAATTAGTCAGTTAAATAAAGGTTAAAGAGAATTAACAAATATCATATTCTTGATTTTATGGCATTTCAAAAAACATCCCACTGTGTTGTGAGTCTGTACAGAGTGAGATCAATGGCGGTTGCTTCTCTTAAAACATCAATACACTGACAAAAAACCCAACTTACCCACATGAACGCACAAACATACTTAAAAACAGCTAACTACGTTATGCTTACAGTATTAGTGATCAAAATGAAGCCTATTTACTTTCTTATACAGTACATGTTATAAATTCTATTGCATGTGATTAATTAGTGCATGTTTTCCAGAAGAAGACAAAATGTAAAAATGTTTCTTCACAACTATCCTTCTGGCTGACATTACCAAGGCCACATTAATGGAAAACGTACTAGGTTACTAACGTAACCTCGGTTCCCTTTCAGTTTTTATGAATTGGGAATCTCGCCAGAGAGACCAATCTACTTTGAGTGTAAACTAAACGAGCCAATTCACATTGGCATGCAGTGATTGCATTCAGCTGCCGCTGATTGCAGTGCGAGTATAAATAGGCAGCAGATGCACCACATACTCAGCTTTTCACTTCGGAGCCGGGCGATAATGTCGTTCTGCTCCTGCCAAGCTTCGTTTGTCTTCAGAGAACAAGTTCAGCACGCTTTAGGAAGCTCTTCCGTGTTGGTGGAACGGCGCTACAGTGGTGATGGTTTCCCGAGTCAAGTGGGTTGCACACATCAGACTGCACTACCGCTTGTTTGTGTTGCAGGCGGCCATCTCCCCTGTTGCTTCAGCACGCTAAAAGAACCTTTTTCCCTAAAAGAGCATTCATGGGTGGGTCTTTTTAAAGATGACGTTGCGTCTGTGCCAACTCGACGCTGCGTCTTTGTAAAGATGACGTTGCGTCTTGGTTTAGATGCCGTTTCTGGATGCGGTCATCACCTGGCGCCAGGTGATGGGCACGATCGCTGCCTCACGTGCCTGGGCGTTAAGCCCGCTGAGGTGGCGTTCGTGGATGAGTCATATTCTAATTGTGGGAAGATGACCATCTCGGAGTTGTGGGCCAGGCACCATTACCTCAAAAGGGTTGGAGTTCCGGTGCCTCTGCCTAGATCTAGTTCTCTTCCTGTCAGAAGTCAGGGGAGGACTACTTCAGGCAGTAGCTCGGGCAGTCTGAGGTCCACAGTGGTGGCGACCCCTCCGAGGAACCAACCTCCCAGGGACCGTCACCCCTCTAGCGCTCCACAACTAGTTGAGCTCCCTCAGGAACATGCTGGGCCCTCTACAATGAGCGTACCAGCCGTATCCTTTGGGGCTCCTCCCGACGATTGGATGTCGATCGCTGCATCGGTGGGTGAGCCGGAGCTCTTTGATTCGGCTGCACTGCCACCCCCCGGAATGGTAGCAAGGCATGAATCAGATCCAGAGATGACGGCTGTGCTTTCCCGGGCCACCGAGAGGGTAGGGCTTGAGTGGGACCTCCACCACGTCCCAAGCTCTCAAGGTTGAATTCTCAGTGCCCCACTCCGGTGCCATTCTTCTTGGAGGTGCATGAGGAGCTCACCAGGTTGTGGATGGCATCTTTTACTTTTACAAGGAACCGGCCTGGTAGTTCCTCCTGCCTCACCACCCACGACGGCGAAGCAGCCAGGGGGGTATACGGAGATCCCCCGGTGAAGCAGTCAGTAGCGATGCAGTTGTGTCCTAGTCCCGCCTCCACCTGGCGGGGCAAACCGTCCCTTCCCTCCCTGGCCTGCAGGTACTCTTCTGATCTGACCAGCAGTGCTTATGCGGCCTGTGGAGAGGCTGCCTCTGCCCTACACACCATGGCGTTACTGCAGGTCCACTAGGCTCAAGCACTGAAGGATCTGCACGCGGGTGGTCACGATCTGGAAGTTCTGAAAGAGCTCTGAACCGCAACTGACCTCGCGCTCCGAGCGATGAAGGTCATCGCGAGATCGCTGGGTCATGCATTGTCCACGCTTGTGATCCAGGAGTGACATCTCTGGCTGTGTCTGGTCGACATGAGGGACACCGACAATGTTCGGTTACTCAATTCCCCTGTGTCCCAGACCAGCTTCTTCGGCAATGCGGTTCTTTGCCCAGCAGTTCTCGGCTGCACAGAAGCAGACTGAGGCGACCCGACATATCCTGCCCCGGTGGGCAGCTGCTGCCTCCACCCGTTCACCGGCAGCAGCACCTCCGTCCCACTGCGTCCGCCCCGGCTCCCACGCCGCAGCAGCCTCCAGCTAAGCAACACCATGGAGCCGGTTGCAGGGTAGCCGCCCCACCTGTCCAGGCCCCCGCCAAACCTGGTGGCAAGTGGAAGACCACGAAGCCCCTGTGATGGGCGACCCAGAGATGGAGAGAGCTGCTCTTTGGGAGGTGGTGAACGCACCACTCCCTCCCCCGGAAGAGGGCCGGGCGGAAAATCCCAAAATCTCGACAAAAGAACAATTTCCTCTATCTCTGGGTCTCAAGAGGGCACGGAGAGTTGTGGACAGTCCAAAGCCGGATCCCACTCATCCTCCTCTGTCACCAGCGGGCAGCAGTGGGCGGTTCGAGAGAGCTGGCAAAGGCCCTACTCACGCACCCTCTGCCCAACCTTGGAACCAGGTAAGTGTTGCACCACACATTCAGACCCCACTTCGTCAGCCCATGTCAGCCCACGAGCTGCCTGAGCTGGGTCCCTGCGTTCCACCTTGATGCTCCACTGCGGGTACGTCAATGGTTCCACTGGTCCCGCTTGTACGGTAACTGGAAGCCTGGCTAGCGCTGCCCAGCCTTCGGACCATCAGATTTGGCTATGCGATTCAGTTCACCCCCCCCAAGTTCAGGGGCATCCACTTCACTGTGAAGGCAGCTGATTCTCATGTCTTGCATGCGGAGATCGCAGTCCTGCTGGCGAAGGACGCTGCAGAGCTAGTCCCTCCAGCCGATATGAAGACAGGGTTTTACAGCACCTACATCCTTGTACCCAAGAAAGGCATTGGGTTACAACCGATCTTGGACCTGTGTCTTGAACTGGGCCCTTCACAGTCTGCTTTCAAGATGCTAATGCAGAAATGCATCTTTGGGTGCATCCGTCCCCGAGATTGGTTTGCAGTGATCGACCTGAAGGACGCCTACTTTCATGTCTCAATCCTTCCACGCCACAGACCATTTCTGCGATTCGTGTTCGAAGGATGGGCATATCAGTACAAGGTCCTGCCCTTCGGGCTGTCCCCCCATGTTGTCATGGAAGTTGCATAGGGGCCTCTTGTTCCCCTGAGAGAGCAGGGTGCTCACATCCTCAATGATCCTCGCATCTCGATGATTGGCTCATACTAGCACAGTCTCGGGATCAGTTTTGTGAGCACAGGGACTTGGTGCTCAGTCACCTCAGCCTGTTGGGCCTTCGGGTCAACTGGGAAAAGAGCAAACTCTCCCAGACGCAGAGGATCTCTTTTCTGCATATGGCATCTGCTGCGGCAGTCACGCTGCTGGGACTGCTTCATATGAGAACACTTCAGCACTGGCTTCATGGCCAAGTCCCGAGATGGCACTCACCGGGTCCAAGTCACACCGGCCTGGCGCCAAACCTTCAACCCGTGGTCAGACCTCACATTTCTTCGGGCAGGAGTACCCCTAGAACAGGCCTCGAGGGATGCTGTGGTACACACAGATGCCTCCACCACCGGCTGGGGTGCCACGTATAATGGGCAAACAGTCTCGGGGGTGTGGACTGCAACTGCAGTGGCATATCAATTGCCTAGAGTTGTTAGCAGTGCACCTTGCCTTGAACCATCTCAAAGGATGCTTACAAGACAAGCACGTACTGGTCCGTACGGACAACACTTCGACCGTTGCGTACATCAACCGACAAGGTGGTCTGTGCTCCTGTCGTATGTCGCAACTTGCCCGCCACCTCTTCCTTTGGAGTCAGAAGCATCTGAGGTCACTTCGTGCCATTCACATTCTGCGTCTGCTCAACCATGTGGCCAATGAGCTTTCACGAGCTTCGCTTCCAGGAGAATGGAGACTCTAACCCCAGAGGGTCCAGCTGATTTGGAGACGTTTCGGAGTCACTCAGGTAGACCTGTTTGCCTCTCCAGAAACCTCTCACTGCCAGCTGTTCTACTCCCTGGCCGAGGGAAAACTCGGCACGGATGCACTGGCACACACCTGGCCTCGGTGCCTACGCAAATATGCATTTACCCCAGTGAGCCTTTTCGCTCAGACACTGTACAAAGTCAGGGAGGACGAGGAGCAGGTCGCCCTACTGGCCAACTGCGACTCGGATGCTCCTCGTGACAGCCAATCCCTGGCAGATTCCTCTAAGGAAGGATCTACTGACTCAGAGACGGGGCACCCTGTGGCTCGAAGCACTACAGCAGGTCCCATTTGAGCCTTTTCAGTCAGTCTAGCTTAAGTTTCTTTCAATAAAGACTCTGCTCCTGGTTGCATTGGCCTCCATCAAGAGGGTAGGGGACCTGCACGCATTTTCGGTCAATGAATCGTGCCTAGAGTTTGGGCCGGCTGACTCCCAGGTAACACTGAGGCCCCGGCATGGCTATGTGCCCAAGGTTCCTACTACTCCCTTCGGGAATCAGGGGGTGAACCTGCAAGCACTGCCCCCAGAGGAGGCAGACCCAGCCTTAGCTTTGCTTTGCTTTGCTTTAAGATTGTACGTGGACCGGACATGGTTGCATTGGCCTCCATCAAGAGGGTAGGGGACCTGCACGCATTTTCGGTCAATGAATCGTGCCTAGAGTTTGGGCCGGCTGACTCCCAGGTAACACTGAGGCCCCGGCATGGCTATGTGCCCAAGGTTCCTACTACTCCCTTCGGGAATCAGGGGGTGAACCTGTAAGCACTGCCCCCAGAGGAGGCAGACCCAGCCTTAGCTTTGCTTTGCTTTGCTTTAAGATTGTACGTGGACCGGACCCAAAGCTTCAGAACCTCAGAACAGCTCTTTGTTTGTTATGGAGGCAGGCAGAAGGGAAATGCCGTCTAGAAGCACAGGATGGCCCACTGGATAGTGGATGCCATCACCCTGGCTTATCAAGCACAAGGTGTGCCCTGCCCGCTCAGAAAGTACAACTAGAAGTGTTGCATCCTTCTGGGTGCTGGCTCATGGCGCCTCATTGACAGACATTTGTAGAGCTGCGGGCTGGGCAACCCCCAACTTCTACTCAAACGGGTAGAAGCACCGAGAGGCCTCAGTTTAGTGTCAGCTTGATAAGACCCCTCCAGAGAGTCCGTACTGTAGACCCTGTCGAGCTCCTCCATCCCCTCGGCAGCCAGACATGGTGAAATATCTGGTGTCATGTCCTCACTCGATGAATCCTTGAGAACTGGTAGAGGGCTGGGTTTCATATGTAGAGACCTAAGCAGATCTCATATGTGTAAAGTCCACGGTATAGGTACCACCGCTGAGCAGCCGGGTCACTGGCTCGGCTCTTCAGTGAAAACCTGAGTATTCGGTGCATCTGCTGCCTATTTATACTCGCGCTGCGATCAGCGGAAGCTGGATGCAATAATCACATGCCAATGTGCATTGGCTCGTTTAGTTTACACTCGCTCAGAAAGTACAACTAGAAGTGTTGCATCCTTCTGGGTGCTGGCTCATGGCGCCTCATTGACAGACATTTGTAGAGCTGCGGGCTGGGCAACCCCCAACTTCTACTCAAACGGGTAGAAGCACCGAGAGGCCTCAGTTTAGTGTCAGCTTGATAAGACCCCTCCAGAGAGTCCGTACTGTAGACCCTGTCGAGCTCCTCCATCCCCTCGGCAGCCAGACATGGTGAAATATCCGGTGTCATGTCCTCACTCTATGAATCCTTGAGAACTGGTAGAGGGCTGGGTTTCATATGTAGAGACCTAAGCAGATCTCATATGTGTAAAGTCCACGGTATAGGTACCACCGCTGAGCAGCCGGGTCACTGGCTCGGCTCTTCAGTGAAAACCGTGTCGCTATGGGAAAAGTCCTTTTTTCTCCAATACTGAAGCCTTTTTTAATAAAGCAGTGTAACTGCATGGCCATTGGTTCATGCAGTCAAAATAAAAATTAACCAATGGAGAGTCAGCGGAGCTGCATGAGCCTATGGCCACAAAGCCCGCAAGAGCCCGAATATGGGCGGGGCCATCTGACTTATGTAGAGACCTAAGCAGATCTCATATGTGTAAAGTCCACGGTATAGGTACCACCGCTGAGCAGCCGGGTCACTGGCTCGGCTCTTCAGTGAAAACCTGAGTATTCGGTGCATCTGCTGCCTATTTATACTCGCGCTGCGATCAGCGGAAGCTGGATGCAATAATCACATGCCAATGTGCATTGGCTCGTTTAGTTTACACTCGAAGTAGATTGGTCTCCCTGGCAAGATTCCCAATTTGTCCGTCACTGATGTGACGTCTCCGTTCCCTCCTTCAGGGAATGAGGGTTACAATACGTAACCGAGACGCTCCCTGAGAGGTAGGAGTACTGTGTCGCTATGGGAAAAGTCCTTTTTTCTCCAATACTGAAGCCTTTTTTAATAAAGCAGTGTAACTGCATGGCCATTGGTTCATGCAGTCCAAATAAAAATTAACCAATGGAGAGTCAGCGGAGCTGCATGAGCCTATGGCCACAAAGCCCGCAAGAGCCCGAATATGGGCGGGGCCATCTGACTATATAAGCGGGCATTCTGGATCATAGGATCCTCAGATTACTTCGACTGAAGCGACGACACTGAGTCGTGCAGCTCCATAGCATGGCTAGCAACGCAGAACTAGTTTCCGTATCTCAGGGAACCGAGGTTATGTTTGGTGAACTTCCCTTTGGCACCCAAGGGGCTCAGAGGGACAAATATAATAGGGTAAGCCCTTCATGTGGCAAACGGGCTAAACTCACAGAGGTCACGCCCGGCCTGGGTAATCGTTCCATAAAAAACTTGTACAGCCTCGGCACTTAGGGAGGTCCGAGAGCGTACAAGAAGTAAAGCAATTTTAGCAAGTTTAAGCGTGTTATGGCCAAACCCTACTCAGAGCTAATCCCACCTTCTGGCAGGTGCGTGCCAAATAGGCAGGGACATCCAGGTTGTAAAACCTAGCAGCTCAAAGGGAGGGAAGGGGAACAACCCTTATCCAGGAACTCTTGGAAGAAGGACAATATAAACGATATGTCACAGGAAACTGGGTCTTTGCCACGGGCTGTACACCAGGAGGAGAAGACCGACCATTTATGGGCATAGAGACATCTCATCACTCATATAGTGAGGGAAATCCACCTGCGATCCAAACGGAGAGGTTAGGCTACTCATGGACTGAATATGCGCTCTGCAGTAATAACGTGATCAGTGCCTATGGTTCACGCTGATAGCTGTTCCAGGGCAGTTTTTTAGTTCTCATCTCCATAAACATATATAGCAATAGAGCTAATACAGTGGCTGAAATCTGTTTATCCTTCGGTTCCTCCTGCTTTCCCATCTTCATAGAGAACGCGCTTTGGAAAGAAGGTGGAAATGGCGCAGTCACAATTTCCACACATTTTTAGATGCTGGGAGCAGGGAAATCTATTTAGAGCACCTTATTGTAGCAATTAAAATATCGATACTTGGCGCCAGATATCGATTCTCGTATCGCATGGAGGACAACGATATATTGCCACATCGATATATTGTCCCACCCCTATAATATATATATGTTAACATCCCTCCTTTTTATGTTTAGATCCAGCCGGTGGTATCACGGAGTAGTTTAGCTACCATCCCGGCCGGAGTGACCCGAGAGGAAGAGAGTGGCCGTTCCCACAGCACAAAGAAAGGAGCATTCCATGAGATCTTCAACCTACCTGAGAATGAGAGACCTCTGCCCGGTGAGACCTCGCTACTTGTCTTATGAGACTTTGCATCCCTAATGAAAAAAAGTACTTGAAAAAAGGAAAGTGACTTAAGTTGAACACGCCTAACAGATTTTTACTCACTTCTCTTTCCTTTCTGTACAAGGGAGTGATTTAGTGGTGTCTTCTCTTGCAGTATGTGAGAATGGTTGGAGATGCTGTCTGATAAACAGAGATAGGAAAATTCCAACTGACTACATTCGCAATGGGATGCTCTATGTCACTGAGAAGTAAGAAACATTTGCTCATTATCTAAATTGTTGAGCAAAGCAAGATGCTGGCAACACTTTTCACTCTTTTTCATGCTGTTATGTATAGTTTCACACATTTGTACATCAACAACATTTGATGTACATTAATGCAGTAGCAGTATAATTACAATTGGTTGTCCATCCAAACAGCTACCTGTGTTTTGAGAGCTCCAGCTCAAGATCAGGGTCTTCAAAGAAGAACAAAGTCATCAAACTGGTGGACATCACAGACATCCAGAAGGTATGTGCAAGTGTTGTTATCGTTAACTAAAATTAAAAACAGCTAAAAATAATTTTCGGTCATTGAAATAAAACTTACGCTCAAAAATCGCTCAATAAATTAAATATGTTTAAAACTAATAAAATGAATAAAACTATTAAACACTTAATTAATAAAACTAATAAAAATATCAAAATCACATACATTTAAAACTAAAAAAATATTAATAAATAAAGATAATATTTGTAATATGTATTCCACATGATGTCTAGTGGGCAGGTGTTCTTGTTCAGGAAAAGCAATAGCTTTGTTCAATTATTTTTTTTTACTTTATGAACCTTTGACCATTTATTATTCACTCACTTATTGCAAAAGAGCACTATGCCTTTGTGTCATACAGCAGGTGTACAGTAGGTGGCAGCAGTGCATCACGGGCTGCACACAGACCTGCATGTAAAGAGCATTTTGATGAAATATACATACATTTTTGGAATTTCTAAATTATAAATTTACGTTTATGCATTTTTACATTTTATTACATTTTACATTTATGCATTTGCTTTTTATCCACACACACACAAAATCACATTTGATCAGTTCTTGCTTTCCCTGGGAATCATTACCTTGGTGTTGCTAGCACCATGCTCTATTGTTTGAACTACAGAAAGGCTCATTATAATTTTATACAATTATATATATATATATATATTGCAGCTGGAATACACTGGTTGTCTTTTGCTCAGATTTGCAGTTTGGAGCAACAAAATCTGCACTTTCGACAACTAGTGTCAAACATGTCCAGACTGAAAACCAGCCTAAATTTGTGTAGTGTTCCAACATTCTGTCATCATTTACTCACCCTCATGTTATTCCGAACCTGTACGAGTTTCTATCTTCTGTTGAACACAATAGAAGACATTTTGGTAACTTATCAGTTGATGGTAGCCATGGACTTTCATAGTGTGGAAAAAATCACTATGGCATTTCAGTGGCTACTGTCAGCTGTTTGGTTACCAACGTTTTTCTAAATATCTTCTGTTCTCAACAGAAGGAGAAACTACAGGTTTGGAACAACTTGAGGGTGAGTAAATGATGACAGAACAATGTCAAACTCCAATCTGAATGGCTGGTGTTCCATAATTTCCCTGATGGTGAAGTTGATCCAAATTAACATTTTGTTACCATAATATTTAATATATCATGTTAAATATATATTGAAAAAAAGTTTTTTATACTACTCTTACAGTAACTCTTGGCTTTCTTTTTCCACAGTACAAAGTTTTATCAGTTCTGCCTGGGTCTGGAATGGGCATTTCTATTGCCACTCCGTCAACACAGAAGGTAGTCAAGTCAAATTTATTTGTATAGCACTTTTCACAATACACATATTCAAAGCTGCTTTACAGAAAATCATGATGTTAGTGTTTATAACATCTTAATATATTCATGCCTTATAGACACATTTAGCAGATTAGAGCCGGACGATAATATAGTTTACATTTTACAATGATATAAGCAATCAAGCAGTTGAGTTATGTTATATAGTATATATTATATTGTGGGTGTATTGAACGTATGCTGATAAAGTTAAATTAAACTAATTATGCTGTCTATCTTGTTGCTTTAATTAAGTGAATCGCTTCATCTTGTTCTCACAGCCACTGGTCTTTGGTGCCATGATACACAGAGACGAGGCCTTTGAGACAATTTTTACCCAGTACATGAAGATCATGACCACAGCCAACCCTGAGACGTAACTCACCGTTTATCCTTCTGGAGGATATCTCATTTGGAGACCAGTGTTTCCTGTCTAATGAACTTTAAATGACTGTAATTTGTACGATTGTGGGCATCTGATATGACTAGCAGGAGATTCGGTGAGCTGACATTCCAGCGAGGGTTTCTGCATCTCAAAGCAGAGACTTTTCCAACCTGAGGGATGCGGGTGGCCTCTCGTCATGTGACAGTGACCTTTTTGGCTTTTTAAAGAAAAGCACACTAATCGGTGTACAGATTTGTGTTTTGTACTCGTCTCTCAGTGATTCAGATTTCATCTCTGGTTTTATCCAGGAAGATGTTACAGGAAGGTTTTGTTAAGGAAGCCGATCACACAGTACGGTCTTTTAACATTTTAGACACTGCATAAAAAAGTCTTAATCAGTATTTTTGTTTAAAAGACAATTTACCACACTTTGTTAGGTTAAACAAATCAAAAGATAAGATATGTTTCTCTGAAACCAAGTAATTTCCTTCTCAATTAAATTTGCCTAATTTTGATATTTTATACTGGAAAATAAGACAAAAATACTGATTAATATGAAATGTAATTTTGCAGTAATTGCATTATAAGGCGTGTTCACACTTATAGTGTTTTGCAGCGACAAATTGACAGGAAGTTAATAATTTTTAATCAGATTTTGAGCAATTTGAGGCAACATAAAGTTATAGTTCAAATTTAATAATTTGTACTAGTAGTCAGCTGGGGGAAAAAAAACCCAGAAAAAAAACCCTACTTTTTTTTTTTATTATTATTTATTCAGGTCCGTTATAAAGTTAAACTCTGTCATTTTGCAGCGGTCACTGTTCGAGTTGCCAGAAATCGAAAACTTTCAGTGAAAATGAATGTAAATGAACTTTGTCACTGCAAATCACTATCAGTGCAAATGACCTTTAAGACTGATAAACAAAGCCTTTTTTTAGCGTGTTTACATTGTTGCTGTGTGCGCAAAACACACTTAAAACTCACTTAAATCTCTCCTCTCAGCGAAGTGTGCTTCATGTGTTTTTAGCAGAATATCTTCCCAAATTGAACTTTGGGAAAGTGTCGTTTCAAATGATTTAAAATGCCTTTCTTCTAAATTGTAATGTCATAATGCCGTAGCAGTCAGCAGATTCATTTCTCATTTATTGATTTGCTTATCTTTGATTACGCTAATTAGATATGAAGGGTGTGAAACTCAGAAACGAACATTTGGTTGCACTTTATTTTGCAGTAGTTTACTTATATTTGTGTACTTACACAAGAAAGTACTGAATAATATAAGGTAACTACTTGGACTTAATATGGGTTAAATTTAGGTTTAGGGTTAGTACCTAGTTACTTATAGTAAGGACATAGTACATACATGCACAGTAGAACTGTAAAATAAAGTGCTACTGAACATTTTTACCAAGTATTTCATGTATGTATGGCTTACAGACGAGCAGCAGTTACTTGTTAATGTTTTGTCACGTTAAACTGTTACTAAATGAAGTTAAATTCAGTACAGAAAGTCTTCATTCACGCATTCACAAAGCGACAATCTTTACGCTATTTAGAGCAATCTTTGGTTGAATCTCACTGAGAAATATCCAGATCATATTTGACCACAAAATCGAAAGAATGCATAGTTACGACAATTGAAAAAAATAATAATAAATGCTTGACCTTCAGTCATAAATGATTTCAGAACTGCTATGTATAAACTATTGAAAAAACATCCTTTGGCACAAAGCAGCAGCACATCTTAGCTGTAGTGGTAAAAACAATCCAGTGGCCAATAGCCTGCAATGTTGCGATTTAACATTTTTTCCATCTTGGAATATAAGAGAAATCTAAATGAAGGAATTGTACATTATTTATAGTGGGCCACACTTTTTGTTTGTCTACCCTAAACAGAAGAGCTTTGCACAGATACACTATAACATTAATAGTTCATTTAAATGTTTAAAACAGTAACGTTCAGGGTCACAGTTGTATCTAAGACATTCCAAAGATCACCATTTTATGAGAAAATACTGTTCATACTTTGTCTTCTCATACATCTTTTAGTTTACTCACACACAAGAGGGACTGTTGAATGTTGCTCAGCTCCCAAAGATGAATCAGTGTATTTTACCAAAGGCCCTTTAGAGCTTTTGGAAGTCTCCCACACGCTGGCTGATGTTTTGGATTGCACTAATGAAGCACAGAAGGAATCGGGAAACTAATAGTTTTGCCAAATGTTGTTATCTTTAACTGCCCTTCTTTAACATTGTCTGTCTCAAATTGATGTTTACACAGGCTGGGTGTAAATCCAGACCAGTTTGATCCCTGCTAAACAGCCCAGCCCAGGGGTGTGAAAACTGGAATATCTTTTTTTTTTTCCCTTCCTTAAAGATCACCATTTTATGAGAAAATACTGTTCATACTTTGTCTTCTCATACATCTTTTAGTTTACTCACACACAAGAGGGACTGTTGAATGTTGCTCAGCTCCCAAAGATGAATCAGTGTATTTTACCAAAGGCCCTTTAGAGCTTTTGGAAGTCTCCCACACGCTGGCTGATGTTTTGGATTGCACTAATGAAGCACAGAAGGAATCGGGAAACTAATAGTTTTGCCAAATGTTGTTATCTTTAACTGCCCTTCTTTAACATTGTCTGTCTCACATTGATGTTTACACAGGCTGGGTGTAAATCCAGACCAGTTTGATCCCTGCTAAACAGCCCAGCCCAGGGGTGTGAAAACTGGAATATCTTTTTTTTTTCCCTTCCTCTTTTTTTCTTCTCCATCTCCTCATGGTTTGGGATACAAATGCTTTTAGAAAATGTGTCAGCTCTAAGAAATTAATTACATTTAAATTAATACAATGCATGAGTGAACATGCATAGCTCATATTTCATTCAAATGAGAAAGAAAGAAAAAATTATATTTTGCAGATTTCCTGAAATTCTTTGTTCAAAAAACAACTGTTGTCCAGTAAAGGTTTTGAAGTACTGTATTTATACATCATGGTTGCATTGTACTGCCTTACATTTATGCTGATTTTAATTTTAAGTTTTAGTTTAAAGTTTTAACTTTTTATGCAAAATATAATTTCTTTCTTATTTTAATTTAGTGGTGGAATATGACAGACTTGTTCACGACGTTCACACACACAATATACATTTTAAAAGGAACAGTTTACATAAAAACGCTGTGTTGGGCCGTTTAACTAAGCATCAGAAGTCATTGTGTATCTGGAGGTGCTCAAGTTGGCACTAGTTGATAAAGTATTTGTTAACTGTGTAAATGTTTGCTATTTTCATAATGTTTTCGCTGCAAAATAATATTTACAGAGTTCATCTGACAGATGTGAATTGTTGTTATTATTTGTTAGCTGTTTTTCTGGCTGTCTGAAGACAAATGATTTATATACAAAAGTACAATAATATAAGAAAAGTTATGTTCTGATTTGAATAGAACAATGTATATTGTTAAATCATAATGTGTTGTACACTTTTTTTAATTTAAGTAAATTAATGCATTGTTTAGACTTATGTGTGTCTGTTGATTTTTTTACATTTGATTTGGTAATGGTTTTTGGCACATTTTACTTCAAATTCACATATTTGGGTGAACCTACCCTTTAAGAGTTTTGACCAGCTGCCGCAAGAAGTCATTGTGTATCTGGAGGTGCTCAAGTTGGCACTAGTTGATAAAGTATTTGTTAACTGTGTAAATGTTTGCTATTTTCATAATGTTTTCGCTGCAAAATAATATTTACAGAGTTCATCTGACAGATGTGAATTGTTGTTATTATTTGTTAGCTGTTTTTCTGGCTGTCTGAAGACAAATGATTTATATACAAAAGTACAATAATATAAGAAAAGTTATGTTCTGATTTGAATAGAACAATGTATATTGTTAAATCATAATGTGTTGTACACTTTTTTTAATTTAAGTAAATGAATGCATTGTTTAGACTTATGTGTGTCTGTTGATTTTTTTTACATTTGATTTGGTAATGGTTTTTGGCACATTTTACTTCAAATTCACATATTTGGGTGAACCTACCCTTTAAGAGTTTTGACCAGCTGCCGCCACTAGATAGCACTGGGGTAACGGGCTTGAAGACGCCAGGATAGACATGTAGAGAAATACCTGTAAATCACATAATACGACTGTATGAAGCAATACATACTTTTATTATGGTAGTCTTAAAAGGCTCTGTGGAGCGTGTAATGCACATGACCACAAATGTTATTTCCAGCAGAGGTTCAAGTGGCTATTATTATTATTATCAAGTCCTAGCAGAGTCCTATTAATGTCCAAAAAGGTTCTCAGTGCTTGTGCTATGCATTTATGGAGAAATTTCCTTCCAATTTAAAACATTCTGGCTGTCATTCAGTCTGTATCTAAAAGTCTTCACAAGAACCTGGCACAGACATTCACATCTAGGCTGCATTCCAAGATGGAGAGCGACTAACTTTTATTATGTTTATTATCATGTTTAACTACATTATTGTTTTGCAAGTTTATTGTTCATTTCAGACAATGGGGGAAAGGATGAATGATTAAATTCTATTTTAAGAGTCAGTAGCAGTAACTGAAAATATTATGAAAACCATAATGAACGCTTGGCAGATTTTCTTTTGGAGAATGACTGTGTATAGTGACCATATTAAGCAATATATATATATAAATCTAAATTTAAAAAAAAAAAGTGATTCAGACTGCGATTTCTGCAATATAGAACAGAATTCAAAGCAGAATTTTTACAGACGAGCAATACTAATTTTCGTTAAAATATTTTAAAAAGCATGTTATTGCTAAAGGACTCCCAGCCAGGCCAAGCGGGTGTTTAACTGGTTCAACAGGGCGACCAGTTGGTTTATCAGCCTGACCAACTGAAAAATTGAAATTTCAACTTTATATATTTTAGCCTTTGCCTTAGATGTTATTGTTTTGCAAGTTTATTGTTCATTTCAGACAATGGGGGAAAGGATGAATGATTAAATTCTATTTTAAGAGTCAGTAGCACTAACTGAAAATATTATGAAAACCATAATGAACGCTTGGCAGATTTTCTTTTGGAGAATGACTGTGTATAGTGACCATATTAAGCAATATATATATATAAATCTAAATTTAAAAAAAAAAGTGATTCAGACTGCGATTTCTGCAATATAGAACAGAATTCAAAGCAGAATTTTTACAGACGAGCAATATTAATTTTCGTTAAAATATTTTAAAAAGCATGTTATTGCTAAAGGACTCCCAGCCAGGCCAAGCGGGTGTTTAACTGGTTCAACAGGGCGACCAGTTGGTTTATCAGCCTGACCAACTGAAAAATTGAAATTTCAACTTTATATATTTTAGCCTTTGCCTTAGATGCATTTCCAAGACTTCTAAAGATCAGCTTTTCTTTACTCGAGTATAAATATTTTTGTGGGCTTTTACTTTCCTGTCTTATAAAGAGAAAAATGATACTTTTACTTTGATAGATTTCCCCAGCAGGCCGGTTCCAGAATCAAATCAATGAGGGTGCTCTAGCCTTAATGTACATCTATTTTGACATTGTGTCCTGTCCATTTCTATGGTTATCACTATGTCAGTCATTGCAATTTGGAGAGTGAATCCTGCATGAGGATGTCACTTCTAAAGCTTTTGTAGTGCGTATGTGGTCATTGGTCATCTTAGCAGCATGGCTAACAAAACTGTTACACAAATTCTGAATGCATTATATATAGCTATGATATATAGGTATGTTATAAGCAATGAAGCTGTCTACACTGCACAATGAATCGCTGCGTCTGCACTTTGTTACAGTGAGATGGTTGCCGAGCGTGCAGAGCTCAGCACTGAACAAAAACTCCAGCCTCGGTTTGACCATTGCGTTCAAATATATATATGTCTGTGATTGGCTACATTGCTCAACGCTGCAAAACTCGTTGGAAATAGAAACCTGTGACAGCTCCTGAGCGCAAAAACCGAGGGCTTGTCCAAATACCCACACTTGCGATCTTTGCACTTGACCACTTGTCTACTTACAGTACAAGACATATTTCCCGTATTTGGCCCAAGTGTTCAAGTTGGTGTGAAGACCACAAGTGTTTGTAGAGGTTTTCATTACCCGATGGGACTCACTTATAGAGTTGAAAAATGCAAGTGTTTACAGAGCTTTATTTTGATTTTCAATGCAATACTTCAATACATTTTAAAATAAACATCTAAATGTCGGTTCAGTAGTCTCTATAACAGATGACACAATTTAGTAATTGTGGCGCTTCTAATTAAGTGACAAAAAGCAGTTTCAAATGTACAAAATAAACATACTTATCTTTACAATATGATGTTTGATGTTTTACTCCCCCATTATAGCTATGCAATATCTAATTATTAAAATTATTTAACTTACACTTGAAAGGTTTACGCAACATCTTGCGAGATCTCGGCAAAAAGTCTCACAATTTATTTCCAGAACATGATGTATGTTGGGATACACTTAGCATCAAACACCGCTCTGAAGTGTGGATTTAGAATGCGTTAAGGGCTCTGCGCTTTGGCATTTTTAAGACCTCGTGCACTTACTTTCTGTTGCATGCACTTGCTCTCAAGTGGCCAAGAATACAAGTGTGGGTATTTGGGTCCTGTCCAAATAGATTTGTGTTCCAAGAT